GGGGGGGGGGGGGGTTGTCGGAAATTTGAAAGTTTTGTCGGAAATTTAGAAGGCTTCGCCCCCCCCCCCATCGGAAAAAGTGAATTTCCGCCACTGGACACATCATCGTGGTTTATACCGTAGCTTTTGATAATGTACATATTGTAGTAGACTTACTGTAGTTTCCTTCCTTTTTATATTCTTTGTATTAATATTTTTTATATGGACGTCCCCCGTGGAAATCAACTTTTGTAGTTGTCGGGGCTAGCGTCGCTAAATAAAGTGTGTATGTATGTTTGTATGTATACAAGCTGTTAACAACTTGTGACAAACTTGATGGTATTATCAGATTTGTAGCAAGGTTGTTCCAACAAGTCCGATACAGTCATGATAAAACAATATTGTTACAACCTTGTGTCGTCAACCTTGTAACATTCTTGTTATATCATGACTGTATCAGACTTGTTAGAACATCCTTGTAACAAGTCTTATAATGCCATCAAGCTTGTTACAAGTTGTTAACAGCTTGTTCCAAACTTGTTACAACAACTGGGAACAAGCAATGCGAACACAACTTGTCGACAGCTTGTGAACAGACTTGTAACAACTTGTTTGCAGACTTGTAACAACTTGTGCGTTTTTATATATATACCTGTACACATGTAAAAATCTCACAACTTGTCAACAAGATGTGTTCGCAACAGGCTTGTAGCAAGCTTGTCAACAAGTTGTAACAATGCTGTCATTTTATCAAGTTGCTACAAGGTTGTCACTCACAACTTGTTGACAAATTGTTGAATTGCAGGACGATAACAAGTTGTTGGAACAAGTCTGTTGAGCTCAACAACCTTGTAGCAATTGTTCAACAAGCTGGGAACAAGCAGTGCGAACATATCCTGTCGACAAGTTGTTGGAACAGCATTGCTACAAGTCTGCTGCACGTCGAGGAATCGAAATTGAAAACGGTCTTTACTGCACTGTACCTCCCACGAAATGACTAGTTTTGTCGAAGACAACTCCGATGACGATTTCCATTAGGTCATAGTTGACAGCTAGCATTTGAACCTATAGAAAGGTAGTTGCTATGTTAATCGATATCTGCCCAAGTTATCACAGTAGACAACAGCAAGATCGCCACTAGAATGTTTCATCAGGGTGCAATAATTCCCGTACTTACTGTACATATACGGTACGTCAATATTATATTGTGGTACTTCTTTGTTTTCAGCAAGTACCACGCGGAACTCTCGCTATATGCGTACTTACTTTTTGTTCGTACCATATGACCTTTCTAAACCCAAGGTATTCAATACCGTGACTTAGCTGGCATATGTTTAAGTCCGAGATGTCTTGGCATGAAACATGATTGAACTGATTGCGCTAAGAAACGTTGGAGTCGATTGTTTGTATACACAATTGTTTATCTCAAACTTTAACCAAATTTTAACAACTTTGTTCTCAAACTTTGACAAACTTTTGCCAAGTCTGACCAGCAACTTTGACCAACTTTAACCAAATATTTTCCATTTTGACCAGCTTGGATCAACTTTTGAATTATTGGGAGGGGGGGGGGGGGTTACACCCCCCGGTAGCGACGTCCATGGTTTCCATATGATCGGAACGGTCGTAAAGATTGAGTCACGATCTTTCTCATCAGCCGAAATACAACATTTTAGAACTGAAAATACGCGGAGTGATTATAACTAGAGAATACTTATGATTTAGGGGTGCACCGGATTTGGAATTTTCAAATCCGGCCGGAACCGGATTTACCGGATTTGGACAAAAATTCCGGCCGGAATTCCCGGATTTGAGATAAACCGGTAATGGGGACAATTGGGGATAAATCAGTATTCAAAATGGCGGTTTATGTTTTTTACTATTTTTAGTTAGTGTTAGTTTAGATTTTTGATTGTGTTTAAACCTTTTTTAAACATCCTTTTGTTAATAACTTAATATTTTATAATAATATAAGTGTTTTTTTAAACTTTAAAGCTGTCAAATTGATGGTTTATCCCATTCTTGGTGAATTTTTTAAGGTGAAAACAGAAATTTAAATCCGGCCGGATTTTCTCCAAATCCGGCCGGAAGCCGGATGCCGGAAAATTCGTTAAATCCGGCCGGAATTGAAATCCGGTGCACCCCTATTATGATTTATATGTGGTTTACAGGTATAAACTATTATAAACTGGCCGTTGAGAAAGATCGTGATTCTATTTTTATGACCATTATGACCATTACGAGCATATGGAAAGGCTAAAGACCTACCTAAAATTATCATGTTTTGTGATTGGCTTTCAGAAACAAATCAGAAACAAAAATTATCATTGTTTAGAAAGACGATATCTATAGTTTTATTGTCTTTCATTGTTATAACCAACCAACCACGAGCCTGGATAGTATAGGTAGATGATGAAACCAGGCTTCTTTAAAATGTTATATTATCGCACCATCATGGGTTCATAATATTGTTTGAATATTTACACAGCCCGCGTATTTGTCCTATTTTTCCTCGACAAAAATGGGAATTTTTTTGCCGGGGCAGGTAAGAACATTCTCACTACAGTATGCCTCGCAGCAATAGACAATTCCCATTATAGACTAATTTTAAAACTAGGCAAAGAGATGCAAAGAAATCACCACAGCTGACAGCTAGAAAGAGCATACTAAAATTAGTAAAATTGCAAAGTTTCGTTGCGAAATGTAAGTTGTAAAATGCGGAAAATATAGCCTTGCGAAGTTCGCAAATTTTGTATACTTTTGTATTGCGTGCGGAAATTCTTACCACATTCGGGTCGAAAATGGTAGCAATTTCCCCACGCAATACAAAAGTATAAAAAATTTGCAAACTTTGCAAGGCTATATTTTCCGCATTTTACAACATTTCGCAACGAAACTTTGCAATTTTACTCATTTTAGTATGCTCTTTCTAGCTGTCAGCTGTGGTGATTTTTTTGCATCTCTTTGCCTAGTTTTAAAATTACTTAAATTAGTCTATAATGGGAATTGTCTATTGTTTCGGCAATAGACCTTATGCAAAATGACGTCACAAGGCTCGATGCCCGCGAGGAATGCTGGTCTTAGTAGTCATCGCCCGGGAAAATTTCGAATTTTTGAATTGTTTAATTTTCCCGGGCGATGACTACTAAGACCAGCATTCCTCGCGAGCATCAAGACTTGTGACGTCATTATGCATAAGGTCTATTGCCGAGCAAGGCGAATGAGAAAACCGAGACCTTGTCGGAGTGCATATATATATATCCTGTATTTGAAATGAAAATAAATTCAAAACACTTAACACCC